GTCCACATATGTGGACGCCAGGTCCTAGGAGGTTAAGCTAATGCTGCATCCTTAGACTCATGCTTACCTGTGAAGAAGTTAGCGTTTATGTAATTATAAATCTACAACACTGGATTCCAAAAGCACGAGAAGAATGAAGACAGAGCTTTGATGTCCTGTTTTCATGCGACTCACTGGGGAGTATGCTGCACATTAGCAACCGCTAAGCTTGGCTAACTTCTCTCCGTGGTCATGAGTGTAAATTTACTGTCGAGCTAACCGAGTGTGACCTGGCCTGTTCGGGGAGCGGGCAGTGGTTTGCTGGTAATTGGGGCTCTGCTGAGCGGCCGAGTAACAACAGGAAGAGAAGTGACAGCTCCCACTGCTACCACTAAAGAGCAAGGGGGGAAACAGTTGGAGGCAGTGAGGTGGAGAGGAAGTCACTTTGGGTTTGGAGCTTATTGCTGCTGTAGAATAGCATTAGGGTCTGCAGTATTTCTACCCATCCCTCCGTCGTGAGAATTCAGACGCAAAGGGTAGCGGTTCAGTTAATGGACTGTGAAAGACATATAATTACATCCGTAGATACGACACATTTCTACCATTTCAGCCTGAACCGCAGCTACCTAACCAAAGGTAGCGTGTGGGGAAAACATGCCTACAGGTTCGACTAATTTCAAGCAGCGGCGCCTCCAGCTCGGCCTCACTAAACACAATTAGCAGATGGAAGGCGTGCAGAGTCGGGCCTTGTGGCGGTGCCGCTGGCTGCTGCGCTACACTGCAAGGCTGCTCGTAAGCTTTAAAGGGAAGCTGATAAAAAGATTTCAGGACTGTGAGGCTAAAGTCAGGCCGGCGGTCTTCATCAGCAAATTGTAATGTCCAAAGTCCAGAAGCAAGAACAGGCAAGTTAATTTTTTATTTATTGTCACAAAATAGTGAAGAATAAACCACTAAAAATAATAAACCAAATTTATTGGTTTATTATTTTTACATTCACAATTCTAATAGGGACAAAAACAGTCAAACTGAGCAAGTAAGTACACTCCTACATTTATCTTTCAGTTAGTCTCAGGTTTTCCAGATTAGGTGTCAATGATTAGAACATATTTAGGGAGGAACCTTTCCGACTCTATGACATCAACGATTTGCTATTAAATTGCAGATTGTCATCATGTATGAACCTATAGTGCTCTCTCAGCCCCAGAGGGGGGAAAAAAACAGATGCTTATGAATCTGACAAAGGATTTGAAGACATTTATTATGCTCTATGGAAAGTTATCTACAAGTTGTGCAGATGTTGAAAGGAAATTTTCCAAGATTTCCGCAGCAAACTCTGAAAGTTTGATTCAAAAACAAGTCTGTAAAACAATCTGCATATCTGCAATATCTACAAAACCTAAGATTTACTAACATATAAGAAAATAAATCATTATCTTTTTGCAACCATCTAGAAATATCAGTGTGTGCATGTGTGTATGCTGCCACAGGACTAAGCAGCTCGGCTGATTTCAGCAGGCCTTTATTAGTTGTTTTCCAATGCAAGTCTTTTATTGTTTTGGGTCCACAGATGTTCTTTGCTGTCTCTGTTTCCCCTTTCACATTTAAAATAATATTTAGTATGGTTGATTGTACCGACTTTCAACAAATAGTACATTCACTGCTGGAGGTAGAACAGCTTAGGA